GAGATGGCTCAGTGGTCTAAAGCACCTATTTAGAACAGGCTTGGCGAAGCAGAGGGACCGCGGTCAATCCTCCAGCACCACATGCCAGCCAGCCCCGCCCCCTGGTGGGCTGAGCTGGCCACACACACTCTAAATAAATAAATAAAAATTCAAAAAAAAAAAAAAAGCCATTAAAAAAAAACAGTGAATGTTTTTAAGTATTAACAGTGAAAGATTCTGCCACTGATCCTCAATATACTCTCCCTTTGCTTCAAACTCATGTAATTCCATTGTCCTTGCCCCTTTCTTTTCTTTTTTTTTTTTTTTTGGTGGAACTGGGGATTGAACTCAGGCCCTTGCGCTTGCCAGGGAAGCGCTTAGTCTGCTGAGCCATCTCCCCAGCCCTGTCCTTGCCCCTTTCTGTGCCAGATCTAGTGAATAAGATGGATGAGGACACATGGTCATGTTTTTACAAGCCTGCCTTTCTATCTTGCTATATTTAGTAGCTGCATTCAATGTAGTTTTGATCACTCATTAAAAATACTCTGAAAAGAGGATTTCCAGAATTGCTTCTGAAAGTAGCCAGAACAGGGCCCGGGGAGATAGCTCAGAAAAGGTCCTGAGTTCAATCCCCAGTACGGCAAAAAAAAGTAGCCAGAGCAAGTGTTAGAGAGTACTTTGAGGGGAATTCAATGCAATGTCTTTTACTGTAATAAATTTTTTTAATGTAAACATTCACTATATTTTTATCATACCTTGCATACATCTCAAGAAGCCACAAACAATGCTCAAAAACTCCCACACAAGAGATCTGCCACCCATCGGCTGGCTCTAGGATCCCAGGAAGTAGCCTCTCCTCCAGGAGACTTACACTTCCACATCAAAGTTGGTGCCTCAGACCAACCCCTCCAACACCAAAGGAAGCAGCAAGAGGCACTGTGAAAGCTATGTTCTCTCCCAAATCAACTGTGTCTACAACTAAGCAATTCTCAGTGGCTCTTTGGAGCACAGCGATATCCATTTCACACTTCTGTAAGAGCTGGCCATAGATAACTACAACATTTAAGGGTGACTGAAAATTGAGGAACTAGGAAAGGAGTTCCCTCCCCAGCCCCCGCAAGAAAAAAGCCTTTTCCACTTACATACCTTCACTGTGATAACCAAGCTTGCTGTTTAAATAAATGGTCTCCAAATATGGACGAAAACACAAGGGTTTATCTGCCAATTAGAGGATGTCAGTGGACGTGCACATCGCAGAGGTGCGTTCTCCTCACACCCGAGACAGCATCGCCGGGTAATGAACAGACTGCGCCTTCGGAATGAGGAGGGGCCTGGCCGCAGTCACCTGAGGGGTGCGAGGGGGGCTGGACACCTCTGGACAAGAAGGGGCACCAAGCCGGAAGGCGAGGGAAGCGGGCGGTGACTGTTTCAACAGAGCCGCCACCTCTCAGCACAAAGAGGAAGGAAACGAGAAGCGCCTCTTTGCTCCTCCGGCGCCCCTCCGCCCACACTCTCCCCATACTTCCCGCAGGTCAGCAGGAGCTGGAAGGAAGCGTGTCCTTCTCCAGGACTACGCCAGTGAAACTTCAAACACCATTCGCTTTTGAAATATGAGCCTGGGGACTTCGGGGCTATCTGCATCTTTAATGGGGTCTTGGGCATATCCTTATAGGTTTTAAAACTTTGCTAGCTGGCATTTTTACACACACCTACTGCACATCACATTACTTACTGTCTGCAATCCTGACACAGGGCAAAAGCAAAACCATTCTTCCATTCCAATTAAATTCTGAGATAAACAGATGAAGACAACTGCTCAGTCTCTAAACCCAAGTTTCTTTAGACTAGGGACAGGGTCAGGCGGAGCGGCAGAGCGTGCACCTGCCCGAGAGGAGACTCGGCAGGGATCTCTTGGGCGCGCGGAAACAGGACGACCGCGGCCGGGGGACCGCTATCTCCCGAGGTCCCCGGCGGCGACCGGCGGCGACAGCGCAGGCGTCCGCGCAGCACCGGCCGCGCGGCGGGTCCGGACGGCTCCGGGTCCCC